CTGAAAAATGACAAAATGCCACCAGGAAAAAGCCAATTTTTAATACGCCTTAACACTGTTTCTTTATCCCTTCTCAGGCTATCTTCAGTTAAGCAATGTTCCATGTAACTGAATAATCCTTCATGGAGATATATGAAGAGTCAGCAGTGTCACCCTGTAAAACGAAGGACTGTGATATATTTTATTAGTGTGCAGGTACAGGTGGGTGTAAAAAGTGGTGGGGGGGGTGGGGGAAGACCTCTCAGTGCGCTTGGGTGTGCTAAAGGAATTTGAATGAAGAATTTCTAAAGGGCTAGGTGAAGAAATTAGTCTGATATCCCCTTGAGACCATCCTGGGCTAGTCACGTACAAAATTGTTCTCAGAGAGGATTCCTTGTGGCCATTTTCCTGGGACTCACCTCTTTTATAAAGTCAGGATCTGGAATATTCCATATACTCTCATAGTGCCATGCCTCTCCCAAACTAACAACGACCTGGGTGCTTGGCGGATAGCATATGCTCAATTAAATGTGGGTTGAATATACAAAGGCCTTTGTTCACAGATCCTTCCACTTTAAATGTCCAACATTTGCCTCCCTACCTGACAACATCTGATATGTCAAAGCGTGTTTCCTCTTAAATCCTGCCTGACTCCTTCAGGCAGTACCATTATGGGAGCACTTTGTTCCTGTCACTGCTCCAGGACCTTTGCATGTATCAACTCTTGTACTCCACATAATACCCACAAAGTAGGACTTTTTATAGGACTACACCTCCACTTTTACAGGTGCAGGACAACGAAGCTCAGAGAACAAAAGAACTTGCCCAAGGATCCATAGCTCGGAAGGGGCAGATGCCTTCTGTCTAGATGTCTCAATCATAGTATTTACCACATCATATGTGGCTTATCATGGCCTAATCATTCATTGCTTCACACCAGTGCCAGCGGGGAGCTATCCGTGATGGGGCACAGATGTCCCTCACACAATTCCTCAAATAATCAATACAACAGATTGAATAGCCCATGACAACATGATTCGGACATTAAAAAGTAAAACCAAGGATTCTGTAGTCAGACAGATCTGGCTTGAGCTCCAGCCTCTCCAAACCCTAGCCTTGTGACCTTGACCAAGTTATTTTAGTCTTTCAGAGTATCGGTTTTCTCTCTATAAAACAGAAATTACAAAACCTGCTTCATGGCATTTGCTTTAAGAATTAAACAAATTAAAGAACATGAAGTGCATACTCAAGTGTCGAGCACAAACTTTATCTGATACTCATGCTCGTTTAAAGGTTCGTTTGATAACCATGCTATGATCAGCCTGAGGCTTACTGGGTGTTCTACAATCGTCTATTAGATAAACGAATTTGGGAATCCAATACAGTAAGACACACACAGAACAGCTAACTGTATTTTGGTTGCCTTAAAATGGATCCTTTTTTTTTTTTTCTCTTTCCAGAATTCAAGCTTCATAAAACATGCGTGGGCTGCTGTCTAGACACAGCATAGTAGATTCTTAAATGTGGTACCAAAGCGGCCATCTTCACTACAGCAAAGCTGCCTGCCTCCTATGGGCTACTTTTACTCTTCTGGTGTCATTACTAGTTCTGATCCTTACTTCAGTTCCTTTGATCATATCCCATCATCTCCCTGTAACAATATCTTAAGTTGAAAACACAAAACTGTTCTTTCTTGTTATGTAGGAAAGAAGTCTTCAAGATTCATTTTTTCCATACCTCCATCTTTATGAGCTATATGCTCCTTCTTCTAAATATTAATGCAAAAATAGGTTAATGTAGTAAATTTATATTTCTGTCATTACGTACAATAAAGGCATTAAGGGCATGATAACTATGGATCAACACCTTTCAGGGTGCCTGACTGCCTCGTAATGGTCACAGGGGATGTCTCTGGGCAGCATTACCTCCCACTGCTGGTTGTTGTTGATTGCATCAAAGCTGGGCCAATCAGAGTTCCTGTCTCGGGATTATGGACTTGAGATGAGGAGATGTAGAAAGTAATTGGGAACAGAGAGAGGAGAAATTGAGAGAGCACTCGAGAACATTCTGAGTGCTCCAGTCACAGTCCATAAACTCAAAAGGGGTCAAGACTTGAGTCACAGAGATATTGTATATAAAGAATAAAGCAGACAGAAAAGGAGAAACCATAGAAAGAGGGCAGTCTGTTGTCTGGATTCTTGCTGGCTCTCACAGTTCTACTCCTCCCCGAGGTCTTGCTACCTCTGCTCAGAAGTCCAATCAAAGACTTCTGTATGGGTAGTATGAATACCTCACCAAGAGGCGCCTGGGTGGCTCAGTCAGTTAAGCATCTGCCTCTTGATTTTGGCTCAGGTCATGATCTCATGGTTTGTGAGATCAAGCCCTGCGTCGGATTGTGTGTTGATGGCACAGAGTCTGCTTGATATTCTCTCTCTCCCCCTCTCTCTGTCCCTCCCCTGCTCTCTGTCTCTGTCTCTCTCTCTCTCACACACACACACACACACACACACACACACACACACACACACACATTCTCTCAAAATAAATGAAAAAACAGTAAAAAAAAAAAAATGAATACCCCATCGAGCCCCATATGTTTGGCTAAAGCACCTTCAGATTTCCATTCCTTACAACCACAAGAATCTTAACTTAGCCATCACAAAACTATGATTACAATTAGGGTTATCAACAATAATCCTTACAAGCATTTAACACTGTGCACATTTACTAACTGATTATTATTAATATCCGCTACAAGCAAGTGCTAGAATAATGCTGCTGAAGCAGCCATCCACGAACTAATAATTGGGTAGCAGCTGGAGGTTAAAAAGCAAGCCATGGAGAGGGAGCGGATTTACTGAAATGATAACCAGCATAAGTCATCACATCACTGGCGACGATTCTGCTTACAAGAGTCCATCAAGGATGGGTGACTGTAGATCAGTAAGACAGTGGAGGGAAATGTTTTTCTATCAGGAAAGAATAAAACAATGAAACAGATGGATTGCTGTTTTTAAGATGAAGATTACAAGAGCACAAAAAACTGGCTATGCTTAGGTGGTTCAGAAAAAAACATGGCTACCATCACCATGGATCCTAAGAAATATGCTTCAATCTTACAGATGTCAATAAAGCATTACTCAACTGTCAATTTAATAATAGAAGTGCCACCAAAGATTCATATTTAACAAACCCAAATGTAATAGATAATGAGGAAAGGTGGCTGGTAGGGATCTGAATTAACTCACCATGTTTGAGAAAATAATTGCGGCAATAAAAAGATCAATAGGAAATCAGGCCATTCTCTAGGACCTAAAAGTTTCTTAGTGGAATATTTAAAAGAGCATTTTACTGGTTCATCCCATTTTTAATGCACTTGGAGATGTGCAGGTGCCCATCAATCCTGCAGAAATGGGTATACAATGAAACTTAAGCTGACTGAATAATAAGGAACTTAGTCACATACCTCTCTCTATTGAGTATATAGCTCTGCATATCTACCCTGCAGATATATCAAGAACAACAGAAGCATTGTTCCAGACTAGAAATATACCATAATTATGTTGCTTTAGAAAATCTTGAAAGCCCAGGACAGTACAAAGAAGAAAATAAAAAGCATCCTTAAACCACCATCCAGAGATACCACTGTTAAAATTCTGGTGCATTTCTTTCCAGTATTATTTTTTTTTCCTGTGAGTGTGAATACTATGCACTAATATTTTACTGTATATACACTATTTAAAAACAACATTTGGATCTTCCTGTTTCTACTGTTTTCATATTCTTTTCACTGAATAGCTAGTGAAGGGGCCCCTGAGTGGCTCAGTGGGTTAAGCATCTGTTGATTTCAGCTCAGGTCATGACCTCGTGGTTTGTGGCATTGAGCTTGAGACTCTCTCTCTCCCTCTCTCTCTGCCCCTCCCCTGCTCACACACGCTCTCTCTCAATAAAGAAAATAAATAATCACATGAAGATTTTTTCTTGCCATTGCATAGAATTTCAGTGCTGCACACCACTTTCAATTGTATGATTTTGTCATAATTTAACCAACATATTAGCTATTTATATGGTTTCCATTTTACTATTAGCTATTGACCAAATGTTTATGTTTTCCCAAATCTCATCTGCCTAAGCCCTAATTTCCAATACGATCATGTTGGGGGGAGGGCACCTTGTGGGAGGTATTTAGGTTATAAGGCTGGAGCCCTCAGGAAAAAAATTAGCACCCTTGAGATGAGACGCAAGAGATCTTGTTTCTCTCTCTTTACCATATGAGGACACAGCAAAGAGGTAATCATCTATAAAGCAGGAAGACAGTCCCCACCAGAAACCAAATCAGCTGGCACTTTGATCTTGGCCCTCCCAGCCCAGAACTATGAGAAATAAATTTATTTTGTTTAAGCTACCCAGTCTATGGTGTTTTTGTTGTAACAACTCAAACTAAGACATTATTCTTTCAATATCAAGAAAAGAGCTGTTTATTCACACTTCCTTTCCCTGCCTCTTCCCCACAATCCATTCTTGCTTTTTCTGTCCATCTCTGCCATGGGAGGCTGACCCCTGAGGAGTGCATTACCTGTGACCCTCTGCCTTCTGATCTCTGGTTGTGTTTAGCTAGTTAGAGGCACCAGTGGGAAGCAGTAGACAGGAGGTTTGACCATTCTCTCCTTCCCTCCCTGTGTGGAACCGGTGCTTGTGGTAATGGCTGCACCTCTCACAAGGTTCTCTGGTCAGCTGACCCCTCTTCCATGGCTCCAGCTCTCTGTCCCCTCCAGCAGAAGCTGTTGCTAGTCCTTAGGTGACTCAACCCCAGTAGGTTCCTTTAACCTCTGCTATGTCAGTGCTTCCTTAAATTACCTTTAGATTGCCATCTCACCAGTATGGACAGCTTCAATGAACAACTTGTACATGACATGGTATAACCCTGTGGAGATCACTTATTTATAAAAAGTGTAACAAAGTCAACATCACGTAACCCATTCCAAATAATGGGAGGCTTACCACAGGTAAAATACTTACACGAAACTTAATAAAATAGAAGAGTGGTCTAGATTCTAGAAACTTCTTCCTTGATTTTCAGAAAGTCTCTCAGTGAATTTCCTTCAATTCTCTTCTCTGTGTAATGTTCACAAACCACATGCTTTCCCCCTTCCTGCAGCCTTTGCTCACGCTGTTACCCTAGATGGAGCACCCTTCACTTTCCCCTTTATTCTAAGCTCCACCTGAAGCCCTATTTCCTTCCTGAATTTTTGGAGCCCACACCCACCCTTCCTCAGAATTGCTGGATCTGTGGTACTCAACATGGTAGCTGGGAGCCACATATGGCTACTTCAATTTAGGTCAATTAAAGTTAAGTTATAAATTCAGTTTCTTAGTCCTACTAGCCACATTTCAAGTACTCAATAGCCACATATGGCTGGTGGCTACTGTACTCAACAGTGCAGATCTAGAACATTTCCATTTCAGGAAGTTCTATTGGACAGGGCTATTCTAGAGCACTTAATTATGTAGGATTCCAAAGAGCATTATATCACAAATACCCTTGTACTGTTCTTTAGTTGTAGGGTCAAGAATACTAGGGAATAACAAGGAAGAGCCTGTCTTCTTCATTCTCAGTCCTAGCAGTGCTGGCACAGTAAGTACAGCTGCTGACTTGGGTAATGACCATGACGATTTTCTCAGAACACTAAAACACAAAGAACTATTAATGACTGAAGCAATGGTATAACAAGGGTATCATGGGACAACCTACAGGTAGTGGTAGGTAGGGATTCTTCTAATCCCACAAAAACAGAGGCATCCTATACAATGTCCTCCTTATGTACTCACAAAGAACCCATCTATAATATTAGCAATGAGTCTTCAATAAGATAAATAGTCTGATTAAATGAAGTCATCAAAAGAACTCAAGTGCATAGCTATATATAGAAACTTCCATACCATCCTCTAGACTTGTTCACAGACAATGAAAAACTGTCTTAAGATACTGGTACACTTTTGACTGTGATTCTGGTTGACAAACTGGCCTCTGTCAAAAGCAATTTAATGGAAGTGATAAAGCTATATATTGTACACAATGGCCTCTCTCATCTCTCTGCCTTGGGATGATTGCAGAATTTTAACAAAAATTCAGTGTTTGACTTAATGGAATAGGCTTATGAAATACATATTTCAGCCTTATGCTAATCTCTGGCAAGAATGTCTTCTTAGATATGGATCCACTTCCTATCTTTTATTCAGATCTGTGCTAATAATCACTTGGCAAAAATCTCTTCTAATCCGCGCAACTCTGTGACCGAGGTATCTTTGTTCTGATTTTACAGAACAGAAAACTTGCTTTCAGAAAGGATATGTCATTTGCCTAAAGTTAAATAGATAGCGAGGGACAGAGCTGGGATAACAACTCAGATTTTTCGACTATAAATGTTGTGCTTTGAGTCACTCTGTGACAGTTCACCAGGGCATCGACAGAGGTGATACTGTGGTTGGAGGGCATGGCAGGGTGGCACCGTTTTGTGATCGCTCTCCTCAGCATAGCTTCTTGTCCCTCCCAAGGTCTCTTCTGATGTTCATTTGAACAAAACACCTGAAGACACTCAGGAGATGCACAAAAGCTGACAGGCGGCTCAGTGAAGGAAGCACACCCAGGGCACTTAGAGTTTGCCCCTCGTGCTCTCTTATTTGACGTACAACAAAACCTGTTGTGAGTAAAAGGCGGGAACTCTTGGTGGTCAAGCCAATGCACCACCCGCATGGCATCCTTGACACATATTTGGACGACTCCTCAATTTTACTGTTTGGTGCACATCCCACATGAGACCTTCATTCTCAGATATCTAACTGCTTTCTTCAATGTTTCAAAGGACCTCAAACATAATGTGTTACACACTGACCTCTTCATTCCTATCAAGCCTCTGCCTCCCACTCCCCCATCCAGGTTCCTCCCGAGCACAGGCTGGCCCAGTCTGTAGCAGCTCAGACCAGGAATCCTGACTCACCCTCGGTTCTCCCTCTCCTGGCCACATCCAACCCATCACCACAGACCTGTCCCCTTTCAGCTCGGGGGCCACCACCCAGTTCTGGTGATCACCTGTCCTCACCCGGATTTCTGCAAGAGTCCCTGGTCACTGTCAGGCCTCCCTGGTTCCAGCTCTGCTGTCATCCGACCCATTCTTCCAGTCAGCTGCCATTTTTTTAAAATGTAAATATGATCTCATCACTTCTCTGCTTAAAATCCTTTAATGGCCTCTCTCTGCACTTCTTGAGATGCTAATTCCAAATCCTTAAGGTGGTTCCAAGGCCCTTTGGATCTGTCCCTTGCTGTGTCAGGCTACAGAACTCTCTTCAGAGCTCTGCGATCCCACTTGTGGTCTTTGCTCAGTTCTTAGGTAATGCTAAACTCTTCTGTGCCTCAGAGCTTAGCATATGCTTTTCCATCTGCCCGCTTGCTCTTCCTCTGCTTTCACCTAGGCACCCTCACTTCTCTGTCTTGTTACCACTTAAATGTCACTGTTATCCCATGGTCCAACTTAGAGCCTCTCCTTGCATTTTATATTTTTCCTTCAATGCCCTTAACACAATTTTGCACATATCTCCTTTTCTGTGGCTAGAACTCTAGAAAGGGTATGCTAGCTGAACAATTCTGTAGGGGCAGTGCGGTACAGACCCTCCAGTTAGCTCCCTGACATTAGATAATGGTGACTGTTCTTCCCAGTCTCATGCAATACATACACAGAGTTACAGCAACAAACCCAGCTGGTGTCTCAGACCATGGGCTTTGGAGAAAGCTGGAGCTCAAATCCTCACTCCATCACTTCTCAGACTGGGTGACCTGGTTCAAAAGTGACTTCAATCTTCTGTGCATCAGTTTTTTCAGTCTGCTGAATAGGGACCCCAACAGCTCCCAAAATGACAATGCAGAGTGTCTGGGACAGTGTTGATGAGCAGACAGCACACACTAAATGACAGCGATTACCTGTGTTGTGGCTGTTCACGTTGGCCTCATATGGGACTAAGTATCCTGGGTTTCAGAACCAATTCTGATGAGACTTGGATAAAAGTCTAAGTTTTGGGAATAATCACTGGACTGAAGACTCCTTAAAGGCAGGAAGGAGCTATCTGGGGCTTAGCACGGTATCTATAATGTAATAGAAGCTCAATAAATGCTTATCCAAATACTCCATAAACTGCCCTGATAGGGTCTGGGGGGGGGGGGGGGGCCCCAACCCAACCTTTGAGGGGGCCCTCCCCCTTTTCTCCCCACTGGGGCGGTGTTGGGGGGGGGGGGTCAGCCAGAGTCAACATGCTCAACATCTGTATTAAGGGACCAGGATATCAATTCTTTTTCAACCTTTTCTTTCTAAGCCCAGGGCTTGAATCGGATAGGTTCCTTGGAGTCTAAGTAATAATTATTTCAATTATCTTTACTGTCACAGCACTTAGAAGCCACCAGGAGCTATTTTAAGGATGAGGAAACTCAAGTACTGGCAGTTCCTAACCCCAGTGCCGGGTTAACCCAGGGGACCAATTGACGCCCAGTACGACTGTTGATCACTGCAGAAACTGCCAAGCCATCATAATTTTAGCTCGTATTATGACGCAGAGAGGAAAACAAAAGGATGATTTATTTGAAGATTAAAACTGTGCCTATTTTATGGACTCTGTAAGCTGTTAGAAACTCAATTTTCGAGCCCTTTGAACTCAGGGTTGCCTCCAGAGTATTTAAGGCAACCAGACAGACAAACAGCCACCACCACCACCAAAACAGAGGAGTTAAAAGCCTGCTTGAATCACAGGACGGAGAATGGCAGCGCATGTGAGGGACCCAGTGTTGTAGCACAAGACCTCAGAGCTCCTCTTCGCACCCACAGGGATTTTGCCGCAGCGTGGGTGATTAAGGACTTCACATCTGCGGCTGTGCGCCCGCCAGAAAGTCTAAATCAAAGTTTCCTCGTGTCAGGTGCGCATCGGCACCCATTTCCACCCTTTTAATAAAGCAGAGAATTGCTTCCTCTGCCCTTGTTTTTTTCCTGAAGAGAATTCAAGATACCATTTACAGCTCTCAGTCTGTGTTCTGGAAAAGAGGGTAGAAGGCCTTAGCACCAGTGTGCCAGCCTTCTGGAAATGGAACATAATTTGCTCATGCCAAAAAGATTTTGGTGAGGCTTTGGCAGCCAGCCTATTTGTCTGTGTCAAGGATTACACTGCTTATCACTGAGTCCCGATACCTAGCCTGACGTGCAGTACGTACTCAAAAGTTGATGAATGGGAGAATAAGTATGTTTATTCCATTTCAATGTGCTTTTACAGTGCTAGATACATAGACCATACTCAGTAAGAAATCCTTTAAAAACTATGAAGGGAAAGATTAGGTAGCATTTAAATGTTGCACCCGCCAATTAGCATTTTGGAAAGGCGAAGACACACAAATGGTTCAAATATGACCCTGGTACTTCCTTAAAGTCTGAAGGGATTGTGGTAGTGGGTATCCCTCACTTCTCTGCTCTAGCATACATAGGTGCACATGTCTAAACCGACACCCTCAAATACATATCCCGATGTGCACCTAGATAACGTCTACACAGGAAAACAACCGTTCACACATTTGTTAGTCACGGCTTTGTTTACTCAGTGCTTCTACAGGGAGGAAGGAGTAAACACTCGTGAGCCTTTTAAACTGCTGAAAGAGACATTTTCCAGTGCATTGCGTGAACAAATGTGATGAGTCCAAGTCCCTACTAAGAAATTCAAGCCTGGAGAACTGGATAAATAAATATAAATGAATTCATTTGACTGAGTGACATTTTCATTGAATTAAAGCAGAAAATCAGCTCCAAAACGAATGATTATCCCGGACAAAGAAGCAGAAACTAGTCCTTAATTAATAAATTTCTAATAGTTCTTCTGTGGACTGAGTAGTCTTTAGGGGAGAAGTACACGGGGGAGAAAAAAGAGGGAACTAGAGAGGGAGAAGCCAGAAGACAATGCATAAACTTTTAGAAATAGAAAATTAGAGACCATTTATTTATGCTTTCACACATGCCAAATCCTGCTAGACCAAAAGTATTACAGTCAAACTCTCTGTGTAACAAAACAAATATTCAAGTCTCAGGAAAGGATCAATTTAAAAAAAAAACAGCAAACAAATCCAGGTCAATGAAATTTGTTCTGTTATTATGTCATCTCTTCCTCCTTTCCATGGCATGATCAAATGACAAAAGAAAAACCAAGTTTCATGATACTTAGAAGGATAATAGCTACATGTGTAGTTTACAGTAAGCATGAACCATGACAACCAACCAATGGGACAGAAATGGGACAAACCAAAACATATACTGCAGTGCTTCTCACGTATTTTCAGAACCCCCACACACTGCTTTCATCAATGCTTCGTGTTTAATAGTTTTTAGTGCTAAACATCTGTGCTGTTTCTCCGACATAACATGGAAAGCGGGAGACTTCAGATGGATATATCAAAGCCACACCGCCTCTTGCATAGCAGACACTTGAAACCTTTGAGGTCACTGTTAATAATTTTCTGTGCATTCATTTATTTTGAATCAATTTCCATTAAATCAATTAAAACGCCAGCTGGCAAAATTTCATGTCATTGATCCAACAAGGTTCAGATTACTTGGGGATATGTGGGGGCATCAGGAAATGCTAGGCTGGCATCTCTGCTTCACTATGTCATCAAATAGGGAGACAAATTTCTTATTGTCACAATATCTTGGGTATGCAGGAGGGGCTTAGCAAAAACACACACCTACCGTTCCTAGCAGCCCAGAATAATGGGAAATGGAGGATGGAGAGTGAAACTATGTGTGATAAGCAAGGCATTAAGTGAAACCTTTCATGTGAATAGTCTCAAGCAGTAATTTTTTTTTTAATATATGAAATTTATTGTCAAATTGGTTTCCATACAACACCCAGTGCTCATCCCAAAACGTGCCCTTCTCAATACCCATCACCCACCCTCTCCTCCCTCCCACCCCCCATCAACCCTCAGTTTGTTCTCAGTTTTTAACAGTCTCTTATGTCAAGCAGTAATTTTTTTTAAATTTTTTTTTCAACGTTTATTTATTTTTGGGACAGAGAGAGACAGAGCATGAACGGGCGAGGGGCAGAGAGAGAGGGAGACACAGAATCAGAAACAGGCTCCAGGCTCTGAGCCATCAGCCCAGAGCCCGACGCGGGGCTCGAACTCACGGAGCGCGAGATCGTGACCTGGCTGAAGTCGGACGCTTAACCGACTGCGCCACCCAGGCGCCCCTCAAGCAGTAATTTTTAAAAGTACACTGGTGTCAAGAGGTTTTTTGTAAAAGAAAAAAAATGTATCTTTGGAAGAAGTGAGACTTAACAGCAGGCAGGTAGGGCAGCAAGAAAGAGCACTGGTTTTGGAAATGACTAGTTATCTCACCCCCTGTGATGGTTAATTTTATGTGTCAACTTGACCAGGCCAGGGGGTACCCATATATTTGGTCAAACATTATTCTGAGTGTGTCTGGGATGGTGTCTTTGGATGAGATTAACATTTGAATAGGTAGAAGTAAAGCAGTTTGCTGTCTCCAATGTGGGTGGGCCTCATCCAATCAGCTGAATGTCTGAAAAGAACAACAAGGCTGATCCTCCCTCAAGTTAAAGGGGATCCTTTCTGCCCATTTTGAGTTAGGGCATGGGTTTTTCCCTGTCTTTGGGCTCTAACTGAAACACTGGCTCCTCTTGGATTTTTAGACTGCTGGTTTTTAAACTAGAATACCACTGGCTCTCCTATGACAACAAGACCCTGGGACTTCTCAGCCTCCACAACTATGAGAGCCAATTCCTTATAGTAAGTCTCTCTCTCCTCATATATGACTAAACTATTAAACATCTATCTCCTAATGGTTCTGTTTCTCTGGAGAACGCTGACTAATATGTGCACTTTTAAATTGTGACCTTGAACAGACACTGCAGCTCTCTGGGCCAAGTTTCTTTATCTATAGAATGGGGTTCATGATACCCATCTTACAAAATTATTGTGGGGACTAAATATAGAATTCAAAATGCCAAGTGTGCAAATAGGTGCACAATCAATATTAGCTCCAGGCTTCCCTTTTGTGATAAATTGAAGATTTGGTAACTTGTGCCTTTGTATGGAAATACAGTATCTGATGCTGATGTTAAATAGTAATGATTTTGAAACGGTTGCCAAACTTTATAAAACCTCGACGGTTTCAAATATGGATCCCTGAACTGTTCCTTGTGAGCTGAAGCAACCACTTTGTTTTCTCTTCTTCCGCCTTCTATCTGTAGAGGAGGTCCTACCAGAACAGCTTTGACAGCTTCATCTTTAACCTGTCTTGCACAGGAAACGGTGGGAGTCTTGGTGTAGAGTACCTTCTTTACTGCCCTGTCGGACTGCCCAAGAGAACCCATTTCATTTTGCCGCAGGGAAATGGGAGAGATGGGTTTTCAGTCGCTGTCTCTTGGGAAGGACGGAGGGTGGGCCAGTTTCTTAGACCTTGAGGACATCACCTGCAAGGTTAGGTGGCTATGTAGGACGGGATCCACTCCATTGTGGGCTTTACTATGAGATGTTCTCATTTACCCCAAGAGCTGAAGACTTTCTCTGAGTTTACCTGGTCATTAAGCCCAAATGAGCTTTACTCATGCCGTGCCTGGTACACTGCACATGTGGAATCTGCAATGTGTTGGGTAATGGCCCTTAAACTTTCATCTGCATAGGCATCATGTGGGGGTAAAGCTGTGGAAAACCATACTGATGCCTGGACTGGAGAGCCTAATACCACAAGTTCTGGAGGAAGGTCCAAGAATCTAGAGTTGTGAAGAAGCATGAAGAAAAGTCTGCCGCAGGGAGCATGGATTTGGGGGAGGAGAATGTGGTGCAGAGAAGTGAGGGATGATCCTTTACAACCGTCTTCTTTACTGTTCCTCAATCTATCACCACGGGTTGTCTGGTCTCTTGAGTTGACTTCTCTCCACTCGCCCTTGCCACCACCCTCCTTCAGGCTGCCATCATCTCCTGCACAGATTAATGCAAGAGCTGCCTCACAGGAGTCCTGCCTCCAGTCTTGTCCCTCTTCAGGGCATGTGCTCATCTTTTGTTATACAAAGCTCATCAGGATGGTCTCTGGTTCAAACCTTTTAGTGGCCCGCCACTGTCTCTAAATTACTTAGGAGAGCAAATACAGAGGGTGTCACTTCACCCCGGCCCCTCTTAGTCTTGCCTCTCACCACGAGCTCCCCTCCCTCTCATGCTCTCCACCTTCTAACCAAATGAGCCTTCTGTCCAGCCTTCCACGTGTTTCTGGGATGCACCAAGCTTCCTCTTCAATGTTGGCAACAGAACAGGCTGTTGCCTCCAACTGGGACATTTTTTTCTTTCCATAGTCTCAAAGCCGACCTGCCCTACTCCCCTGCTACATCTCCTGAGGGAGATTTTCCTGACCAGAGTCAGGGAGGTCCCGGCTGCTTACAGCTCCCAAAGCATAAATAACATCCCCTTTTGGATCATTCACCATGCTACAAAAGATAATTTGTTTGGAAGTGTCTTCTCCATTGGAATGTAAAATCTGTACATCTGAGAACTATGTCTCTCTTGCTTACTGAATTTCACCAACACCCAGTAAAGTCCAGGCACTCAGTAAATACAGATTTTTTTTTTTTAGTAAATAGAAGTGTTACACCATGGTATGTCTCTCTGAGACTCATTTTGGCCATTTTATATATTTGTTTGATGACTAAATAGAAAATTAACACGCCCTAACTAAATAGCTGACTCAGTTCAGAGGTCACTGCCTCTTGGAATCTTTCCTAACATATTCTTTCTGGTTTGGATGCACTTCCTACACGATCCTTGAATTCTATGTTTACAACTCTGTTGTGTCTCTTTCACTTGACTTCCACATCAAGGATTATTGTATCCATCCCTGTATTCCTAACACACAGCATGGAGTGCTGGGTTCATGGTATATACTGAATGAATCGCTGGGAAATTGCTACTACATAAAGGGATGAAAAAAGGGATACTAATAATGAAGGGGTTATTTCAGAGAAGCAGAGAAGATTTTGACACGTGGCTGGAGCACAAGGTTGGAGCAATCACAGTGTAGCCTACATGTGATGACTCCTGGAGATGGCAGGCAGAAACATGGATGCAATGAGAATCTTGAATATCTACGCTCTGTAGAGTTTTGCTCCAGGCACTGAGAATTGGTGGTCCCAAAGAAAAGGCCATAGGAAAGCAGGCAATATATAATATTAGGGACAGAAATTCTAAAACATGCAGATGGTATATTTATCTGTTTCCTCTTAGAGAAGCCAAGGCAGCTCAGGGCATCTCTGAAATTGGCTTTGATTTTCTCTCCTCAGGTCCACATGCCATTGTCCTACTACAGCTGCCTTTTAAACGAAGCCCATAGGAGATTCGAACACCACAGAACCCAAATCTCAGGATTTAGCCTTCCCCTCAAGAAAGGAATCCAATGTTAGTTGTGGAAAACAAATTCCAATACAGTATCAGTAGTTCAAGATCCTTCAAATGCACAGTCAAACCACAAGGTGAAATAACAATGCAATCCCACGGCTATCTTGAATTGCTCAAACAAAAAACATCAAATGTATCTTTAACTTCACCCAGGACATTTAAATGTAAAGAAGTCAATAGCAAAGAATTTTTAAGTTAGTGATTTCTGCAGAGGCAGACATAAATATTTGGAGTTTTGGGGGTTCCCTAATGGTTACTTTTCAGAATGCAAAAATGCCATAAAAAATGGAGTCGTGCAGAAGTAGTGACAAATAATTCCTCATAGAACATGTCCAAATTAAATAATTACTCTGGTTAGAGGGACCATCAATGCAGTCAGAACAGATATTTTTCTTTCTTTTTTAAAAAATTTTTTCTTAATGTTTATTTGTTTTTCACACACACACACACACACACACACACACACACACACACACACACACAGCATGGGCGGGAGAAGGGCAGAGAGAGAGGAAGACACAGAATCCAAAGCAGCCTCCAGGCTCTGAGCTGTCAGCATGGAGCCCGACACGGGACTCAAACTCATGAACTGTGAGATCATGACCTGAGCTGAAGTCGAAGGCTTAACCAACTGAGCCACCCAGGCGCCCCCAGATATTTTTCTACCATGAAGAATGGAACAGATAAGAAGGGTCCATTTGAAGCCTCACTTCAAACACCAGCCATAATGGAGTCCCATGACGAAAATGAAACAGGGGTGGATGCTAACTAGAGTGTACACATCACAATGCTAACCCCTACTGACACACTGATGTGTGAGCTCAACAATCCCCTAAAGAAGTCTATGTTTAGGCCTTTAAATATAAAGCTATAACAGAGAGAATTTCTCTGAAAGCTCAAATACTTGATAAAATTAGAACTATTCCTGGCCATACAATTTGTATAACAGGGTATGGGGATTCTGAAATGTGTTGGGGGAAAAGCTCAAGAAGGTAGCAGATTGAGGAAATGCTATCTTGGAGGCAACTTAGAAGTGACATGTGGTTGGCAGGTCCTAATCAAATAACACTGGACGAGCAAGTGGTAATGAAAGACCCCAATTATAGAAGAATAATCTCCATGAAGTCCAACATTCTCATCTACCATGGGCCACTGGGCAATTCCTGGGTCTTAGGAGAAAAGGCTCAACTTATAGTTGCTTGACAGTATCTCTCACATTTAAAATTGAAAATAGTGGGCCAAAAGACTCAAGGAAGGAGTGGCTTATATATTTAAGAGCCCCTTGCAAAAGGTATATTTAAGAGCCATTGCCATCAAGTTTACTAGTCAAAATAATACAAAAAGATCACAAAGGAATAAAAGAGATTTTGTGCAATTTTGCCCGTGGAAGATTCAAAATAGCCTTGTAGCTACTATTTTTTTTTTATTATGAATCTGTAAAAAATTGACATTGTATTTACTTCTTTGAGAAGATTAAATTGAGAATAGTAAATAAGAGAAAAGGAGAACAATTAATTTTAAATGAGTAAATATATGCAGAGGATCCACTCTCTGCTAAGTACCATGCTAGGCGGTAGGAGAGCAAAGGGAAATCAGAAGACCATGAAGTTGTCCATGTTCTATAGGGGAGATGGAGAGATCTCATGCTACCTTGCCTTTGTATAGGCTCCTCCTCTGCCTCATGCCAGCCCTTGGCCATCTATCAAAACTTGTATCTTGCAAGATCTAGTTCATGTATTATACCTTTGGCATGTCTTCCTTTACCCCACCTATTCCCAGGTGAGGCTAGGTTCCAGTTCCGTGGCATTACTACACATCTATGCATTCCTGTGGGGGCATATACATCCTATCCTCATTGCTAGACTGAGTGTTCCCTTCTAACCCCAGTACCACAGAACCTGGACCTCACTGGATGGAAGTACAAATGGATACTAAATGGATACTATGCAATAAAGACATTATTAGTATGAACAAAGTGCTTAGTAATGAAGAAGAGAGAATGATTGGTTCTCCCTGACAAATGAGGTAAGTCTTCTCAGAAGAGGTTGTATCTCATCAAGACTAGGTCCTTTCATGAGTTTTATTATACCATATTCATAACAACTCTGAAATAGGTCCTATTCCCATTTTTATAACTGAAGATTCTTAATCTCTGACAAGTAACTTGCCCAAAGTTAATACATCTATGAAATGCCCAGAATGGCTTTCTATGGAATGCTAAAAAGTTTAGATTTTATTCTATAGGCATTTGGGAGCCATCAAATGTTTTAAGGAGGGATATAATGTCATCAGAAATATATTACAATTAAGTCTGGCAATAGAAGCAGGAAGTTAATTAAAGGAGAACAAATGGGGCAGAGCAGAGACTAGAGATCAAGTAGCTAGTAGGTTATTCTTACGGCCTGGGAAGGAGCTAAAGAGGAATGGTTTAACACAGTGGCCAGCAGGGTCATGGGGTATGGAATGACTGGAAACCCATTTAACAGGCAGGAGTCAGAAGGTTTGGTCACTGATTATACATGCATGGTGAGGGAAAAGGTGTAATCACAGGTCAGGTGACTCTGAACCTTCTACGATAGGTGATGGAATGAATAATGGCATTATTAAGCTTGAGAAGCAGCACAAGGGTTAAAATAGGCTGGGGAGATTGTCAGAAAGACAATGGAGTCCATTTTGGACATTTTAAATTTGAGATGCCAGTAGAATATTCAGAGTTCACCTTTTAGGGAGATTAAAGATCTGAAGCTTCATAGAGGTCTAAGATGTATTTGAGAGTCACTATGGAGCAAGGGATGGTTAAAAACAATGGCAGTGGACAACATTCTCCAGACGGCATGAACGATGAGAAGAGCTAAGAGGGTCTATTCTCCAGGTGGCATCAACATTCTGGAGTGATACAGGAAGGTGGCTTGCTATCAACCAGAGAAGGAGCCATTAGAAAAAGAGGAGAACCAAGGGAGTCATTATCATGCTCATACAGACAGATGAGCACCAGGGAGTCAAAGCTCAATGTTGTACAATAATAAGGAAGAAAAGCTGAGTATGAAGACCACGGAATGTGAACACAGATTTGTAACACCAGTGGCACAACTAAATAAAAGACATGGAGAAGACTGGAAACCCAAATAGTGTAATTTGGAAGACCCTAGGAAAGGCCATCAGACATACCTTACATATGCATAAAAGGAAATCTGATTGGCTCAAGTTTTCTTTCCCAGAAGCTGGAAATATTGCTATAATTATGTTCCTCAGAACAAAGACAAAGAAAGCATTTCTTAATGACAATTGAGATGCTAAGAAAAATTTAGTCAAATGAAGCAGTGAACTGTAAACATATTTGACCTTGACTTATTTTGAGACAATTTACTAGAAACTCTCAGGAAAACAGAGGCCTCTTAAGATGGTGGTAACTCAAGGTAGGGCACTAGGTAAGACTTATACAAAGATGCAATGATTTTCAGAGAGCTTGTAACATTTTTGTATGTATTAAAGCCAGTCTCTAAGACTATTTTTCTTCCTTTATTACCTTAAGAATACTGGCCTGGCAGTTTATTATGAAATTAGTCATATAATTACAATATGACCCAGCAATGCCATTTCTAGATACTTATCCAATGAAATGAAAACTCATGTTTATACAAAAACCTGTACATGCATGCTTATAATAGTTTTATGAGTATTTACAAAACTGGAAGCCCAGATGTCCCTCAACTGGAGAATGTGGTATATACAACTGTGGGCTATCCATCCAATGGAATACTAGGCGCTTAAAATGAATGAATGGAAGCACACCATAGCTTTGATAAGTCTCAGTGAATTATAGTATGTGAAAGAAGTCCGACTCTATGATTCCATTTATGACATTCTGGAAAAGGCAGAACTAAAGAGACAGAAAACAAAGCAATGGTTGCCAGAGGCTGGGGGTAATGAGAACTTTTATTTTATATCTTGATTGTGGTGGTGGTTATACAACTATATGCATTTGTCAAAAGCTGCAGAGCTATATACTAAAAATGGTGAATTTTACTGTATGTAAATTATACTTTAATTAAAAACAGTAAGAAAAAAAGAATACTGGTCTGGGAATTAGAACAGGGATCTAGTTTCAGTTATGCCACTAACCAGCTGTGTAACCACGAACTATGCTCTAATCCTCTTTGGGTCTTGGAGCCCAAAACTGTAAAATGAGATTGAAAAATTTTTCTCAAAGAGTCTATTGCGATGTTCTACAAAGACTTCCTTCTTTAAGCAATGTGGTGGACCAGATGGCCTATTTCAGATCAGATGGCCTACTTCAGTTGAAGTATCACTGCGGGGGTGACTGGACTAAAATACCCAATCTGTACACATGGTTCTGAAAAGTCTTCTTGGATTAGAAAGTAGTGTTTCTAATTTGTGTCGTTCCAAAAGATGAAGCTCTAGGAAAGTCCTCTGGTCATGCAATTCTTAACTAAAATTTAACACATATATTTGGACAATGTGGAAAAAGTCCTTTGGGAAATGCTAATGTTTAATGAGCTATAAGTGGCCCTGGTAAACAATCATGGTCTTCTTTTTTTCACTTTGTAGGCACTAATTATAAAGGCATTTGAAGATGGTGGCATTTACTCTCTTCATCTGCTTTATCCTCCAGTCTGGATACTGGTTTCTACTGCCCGAAGTTACTCAACCCTCATCATTGTGGTTACATTTTTACACTATCCAAGTATTTGTAGCCAAGGAAGACATTGAAAAGTGTTCCTGAGATTGAGGGAAGTATTTACAACTCAAAAGGGAAGACACTGAGAATAAATCATAATCTTGATAATGTTAAAAGTTTACATTTTTAACCCTGAAGAGCAGGAATCCACAATCTATGGCCCACCAACTATGTCTGTAATAATAAAGTTTTATTGGTATACTGTTATGCTCAATTCATTTAAGATTATCTGTGGTTGTTTTCACATGAGGTAGTAGTTGTAATCGATACTGTATAGCCCTTAAAGACTAAAATGTTTACATGTGGCCCTTTTCAGGAAGAGAAAACAATGTCTGCCCACCCATTTTCATAGAATATTGTCATGAACTACGCTATACGGTTTCCACATAAAATTTCAGGACTCATCATAGCACCACCATGAAATAGGAGTTCTTATCACCATTTGACAGATGAGAGGTACTGAAATGTAATGCATAAAAGTTTGCTGTTGACTCAGATAGACCTGTATAGTGCTTTTTTACTAGCTGTCTGACTTTGTCTGTCATGTAAATTCTTCATCCTCCATTTCCCCATATGTAAGTCAGGGCTAACAACAGTAGTCAGGAGTTGATGTGACAATTAGCGCAGTGATTTGTATACAGTAAAATTTGAAACTCATTAGCCATATGAGAAAGTCAGCTTTCAATATCCCTGGGGTGTTTTTCTTCCCACAAACACTGTCCATTATTAAAAAGCTAAGGATGCCCCTCATATGCTTGGTTATGAATTAATTTGATACCATGCACTGTTGCTATTACATAACGTTTCTCCTGTCTCTCATGAATCAAGAAGAGAATAATGATGTTTCCAGCCTAGTACTGCATTTCCCAAGAGACAACTGGGGGTGCCCTGACATGAGTGAGTTTTCTGCAGGAATGAACAAAGTCATAAGCCCACCAGACTGACATCCTGGCCACTCCATGGACAGGACACAGAAGACTAAAAGGCTGTATGGAGGAAGAAACCGCCTAAATGGGACCCAAGGGAACAACATTTAAAGCAGGGCCAAACATTGGTTATGTTTCTTGCAAATGTCAGGTAGTTATAGGGCCACTGTGGATAAAAGAAGGAAAATCAGAGGCCAGTATTTCAGCTGAAGAACAGTCCTGGCTTTAGGTGATAAGCGGTTTTAAAAAAATTTTGTCACGATTCAATGATGGTGTCTATTAACTGATATATTTACTATGAATCCCACACACGTTTAAAAAATACCTTATAGTTTGTTTGTTTTTGTCTTTGGGTCAGCATCCAGAAGGAGGAGAGTAAGAAAAAAGGAGGGTAGAAACTTCATATTCCCTGTGTTCAGATGACCCACAGTAACCAGCTAGAGCCCTCATAGTCCTTTTGAGACCGTCTTAGTCCTAAAACGGTTACATGGCTCCTGACCAACTGTGTGTATAGAATCAATAGCTTAAGCCAGTTTTAAAACAGCCATCAAAAAGTTGGAAAAATAGGCTTAATTATCCACTGTTTCCTTTAGAAACATGTTCAGGGATTTCTAAAAGTTATGTAGCATTCTATAATCTTTGTTTGTACTTATCCAGCATATTATTTCTTACTGATTAATATTTGCAGAGATAAAGAATCAAATATTCAATACTGAACCACATATCATTCTTATGGTGAATTTCCATACAATATATATGTTATGCCAGTCAGATAACTTGGGTGGAATAGTGTTCCAATTTTTATTATAGCCAACCTAGACCCCAAATATTTTAAGCCTACCCCAGCTGTCTTTAGAACTTCTATTATCAGTGATTAAAAACAACTTGTCAATTTTTTTTGTTTCGCGTTTTTTCAAAAAGAAACCATCATTTCAATAAGGCTATAGATTTTCTAAAGTCTGCCTGGCTGAAATGAGTCTGAACATTAACATGTAAAGGACAAGCAATAAAAAAAGTAATATGAGTGCAGACAAAATATCAAAGAGCTAGAGAACGTGATCTCTCCTAAAAGGAGTGGAATGAGAGAATGCAAAAGGCACAGCTTTTCAAAGCTAAAGAAAGTGACAAGAACTGAATTGAAAAGGCTGAACTTAGCATTACCTTCCCAGAACACAAACATATATTTAGCTTAATAGACTTGAGTACTATCTCAGGAAAAATCTTATATATTATGCATCTAGGGCAATGAAAGCTGTAGAAAATGATTTTGCAAAGCAAACACACTGCAGGCTGACAGTAGCAGAGGGAAAAAAAAAAGAGTCCAAGGCACATGAGAGGAGTTTAGGTCTCATTTTCTACATATCATCACAGGAGGAAAACAAAAGAGAAGAGGAAGCCTGACGCTGAACAGAACCGGGCAGAAAGATACACGTGATTGAAGCTTAAAAATGTGCATGTGTTTTCTGATTATAACCATAATACAGATTCAAACTAGAAAACTTGGAAAATATATAAAAAAAAATAAACAAAGTCACCCACCATCCCACCACCTACAGAGAACCATTATCAAAATATTGGCACATTCACTGGCATCCCTTTTTCTGTGTACACATAAAAATATGTTCTTTCTAAGAAATTTGGTTCATATTGTAAATATGAAATTTTTACATGGTCTCCCCCCCCCCGACTTCCTATTACTTCTTGAGCACTTCCCATGTTGTCAAATATTTTGTGAAGATTTCATTCTAATGACTGCATTGTGTTGTATCTCATGAGTTTCAGCAGGCTTACTTGTTTCTTTCCATATTGCTGAAGCTCTAGGCTGTTCATAATTTTTCAGTTTTATAAATAGCACTGGGGATGGACTTTCTTGTAATAAATCTTTGAATCTCTATTTACTTCTTCAAACAAACCAAAAAGTATATCAGGATGTCAGATTCAGATTTAAATCACTCAGTGTACTTGTACCTATAAATTTACCACTGGATACCTCTGGAGACAAATGCGAATAATGCATATCAAATAAACACACTGTTTTCGTATCACTCAAAGTCTGTATTCATCCTTGAAGAGCGGTCATCTTCAGGCAGTACATCGCTTTCTCTAGGCAAATGGTCTATTACTGGGTTATAATCTAAATGCAATAACACGAAAGTTGGCTGACCCAGATTTCTCCAATATCAGTATGCATGCAATTACAATATTCTACAGATTGAAAAATACCCCAGGCTCTCAAAAACACATATTTTATCATCCTTTCACAACGATGTATAATGGACATGTATAATGGACGTTGATAGCAACCAAATCTTATGTAGACACGCAAGTTACATACAGCATTAACTTAAAACTTTTCCTCAAATTCTAGCTTTATTCTGTCACTTGAGTCCTCTCCAGTGTTCCCAATATATTGAATTTATTAATGATCCTTACTTAGAATTACATGGTCATAATATGCCAGGCTTAAATTCTCTACAGTCTATTTTTAAAAAGTGATTCTACCGGGGCGCCTGGGTGGCTTAGTCAGTTAAGTGTCTGACTTCGGCTCACATCGTGATCTTATAGTTCGTGAGTTCGAGCCCCATGTTGGGCTCCGGGCTGACAGCTTAGAGCCGGGAGCTTGCTTTGGATTCTGTGTCTCCCTCTCTCTCTGCCCCTCCCCTGCTCATGCTCTGTCTCTCTCTCTCTCTCTCTCTCAAAAATAAATAAACATTAAATTTTTTTTAAGTGATTCTATTTTCAGGATGCCAAATAGCATTCTCAAAAATCTCTAAAGAGTGTATGTGTTCATACGTGTATATATACACAGACACATACCTTTAAAATGTTTTCCTCCCATTAGTTACTGAAAAGCAAAGTAACATGAAACATAAAAAAAATCCCACTTGTATCATGATCGTATGAACTATGGAATCACGCAAATTCCAAGGCCCCCTCAGAACTGGTAATCAGACTAAGAGAGCTTGGGCTGCACTGTACAACTCTAGGGGGTGCAACTGTATCTGTATCTCTAGGTTGTGCAGGGCACATCCTATACAGCTATATGTGATGTCCTTGAAACTAGGTCACGAGATATTTCCATTTGCTCATTCGTTATTTGTGCATCCTTCCCCCAGTGACCTATGAAAAAGAGAAGTTTCCCTATGAAAAGGAGGGAAGTGGCCTTTACATCTATATCTTTTTTTTTTTTTTTTTTTTTAAATAAAAGCAATTCTGCAGAAAAACAATAGTTTCTCTCTGGCTCCCCTTTGTTATGATGGGAATGGTTTCTTTCTTCCCATGTTCCCCTTATATCCACCCACGAGGCAGCAGCGGGGTACCTTGTGTGAGTAACTGTAGGTTTCTGACTTCTTCTCGCACCTTCAGCTGGAGCACCTGTTGTAAGATGTGCTGCCGGAGGTTTTCCTGGGCAATCCCCATTCGCTCAAGCTTTTTGTCAGTGAGTCTCAGCAGGGCTCGCCCTGCAGGGTTTCAAGAAATAAAAGAAAAAGCAAATGAACAATGGCCGGAAAGGATTTCCATCTTCGTTTTGGCTAACCCTGCCATAATAGTAGTTTCCTTCCAAACAGATAATTTAGAAGAGAGGGTCCTTGATTATTCTTACTGACAAGAAGAATTGATAATCCAGATAAAGAAAACACACAAATTAAAAAAAAAAGAACCCCAATTTTCATCTAATTTTGGCAATCCTCAACTGAAAACACACTGAGTTAAATAAAATCGCAAAATTTTAACCTGGGTATTTTGGATACAGATTGCAGGTTTCCATAGAAACAACGCACTTCGTCGGGTGATGGGTCCTGCCTGAGGCTGGCCCACAGGAGCCCAGCGGAAGACCTGGATGCTGTATGTGTGGTTATAGAGAAACTCCACCAATGTTTCACCCAGGTTACAATAATGTTTCTGTGAAACATGCATTTAAAGTTCCAGTTTTAATCTGCAGGCAGTCACCTGTAGGCATTGCAGCCCTCGTGCTGGGCTAGAGATCCATCTCCAGCTGGTGGGAGCTAAAGCTTAATCCCAATCTCTGGACCAAGGCAAGGGCTGCAGCAGCCTGATGGGTGAGGGAAGCAGGGTGAGTGAGGGCATCTAAAGATTGCAAAACCAGGAGCCCCCGGGTGGAAGAGCCTGCAGTGTGCAGACACCCGGGGTCCTGGGCAGCCTGGCCTGGTTTCCTTCCAACCCTTCTTTCCCCAGGAGGTCTGCCTGGTCTTCCGCTTCCCAAGCACTCCATCGTCGTACCTGCACACCTTTCTCATTTCAACTGAGGTAGAGTCAACTACTTGTGGTCAATGGTCTATCTTTGGGTGTATTATCATATGCACTTCAGAAAATAAGTTCTCTACCTCCTCAGAATAGAAACCCCATAGCCACAAGGTGGGGTTCATGGACATTTTCATCAGAGAAATAGGGAAGTGTATGTGGCCTGGGACAAGAGAGACAGGCAAATGGAAAGAACTAGGTAGGAACAATCTATTTCGTTTGCTCTTTTTACCTCCCTTTAGCCCTTGCTAAATGCATCAGGTGGGATGTTAGGTAACATGTTACAGTAACAAATGATCCCCAAATATCAGTGGCTGCAATACAGGTTACTTCCTGTTTAGTGTACATATCAAATGTAAGTCCATCCACCTTGAACGTTGATTATTGTAGCAAAGGGAAAAGAGAAGATATTAAAAGGTCTCATAGCATCAACAAAAGGCTCAGCCTAGAGGTCATTTACAAATCATAGTCTGGAACTAATCCCATGAACTTTCCCACCCACACAGGTTCACACATGGCTTCTGGCATGTGCCAGGAAACGGAGAGAAATATTTGATGAGCGGCACTGATAAGAACTACACCAAGACAGATGTGGCTTTGGACCAGTGCCTGGCAAGAAAGTGAGTGCAGTGAGCTGTGGTGTTCTGAAGCTTCAGTAAAATCGACGTGTGGAAGAGGAAGGAGAGGCAAGGGGAAAGGAATCCGAGGTAGCCATAGCTGAGGCTTGGTAACACCAGGCAGATCGTGGTGGCCATGAGAAAGGAAATGAAGAGCATATACAGACTCAAGTAGTTCTGGTTGTCTCCTGTGATAGAATAACACCCTCCCCTCCCAAGATGTCCATGTCTTCACCTCTGGGACCTGTGAATTTGTTACCTTATGTGACAAAAGGGACTTTGTAGGTGTGATTATGGTAAGGGTCTCAAGACGGGAGATTATCTGGCATTAGTAGGTGAGTCCTATCTAATGACACAGGTATTTATAAGTGAAAGAGACAGGAGCGTCATAGACAGAGTTGTGACAATGAGCGCAGAAGTCAGAGTGAGGTGGCTGCAAGTCAAGGAATTCATGCTTCTAGAAGCTGTAAGAGACAAGGACATGGATTCTCTCTCATATTCACCATGAGGAAGCATCTCTATCAAAACTGTGACTTTTCCGTAAGACTCATTTTGGACTTCTGAGCTCTAAAACTGGAACACAGTAAACTTGTGTGGCTTTATACCATGAAGTTCGTGGTCATTTGTTAGAGCAACAACTGGTCTTTTGACTGAAATTTAACATATTTTTAAGAAATCAAACCAATGGATTCAGATTCCCTTTCGTAATTTCTGGGCAGTGACATACTAAAAGGTAGAGAACTAAGGGGGTGGTGAGCCCAAGTCCCAGGCTTCCAGGACAGCCCTGCCATCAAATGCTCTCCTCACTGTCAGATCTTGGTCCTGAAGTTCCATTAGAAAACTACAGAATGGGATTTGGCAGCCTTTATGTGGATAACCCGCTTCCAAATAAGACCTCCAACTCTCTATACATGTTCTCAACTTACAAATACTGTATAAGAAAAAAAATCCCTGAAGTTCAGATGATCTGAATCCCTCTCAACATCTCACGTAGATAACCCATTCTTATTTCTGTTCCTTTCAGCAATTAACTGAGCTGTGGCTTCACAAGGTGTGACATTCAGGAGCCCGCTCCGCTGAGGCAATGGTAACACACATGGGGGTTCGGTCACGGTAAGTCGGCTGGTCTGTCATTAGAGCACAGTGCAGTAAGTCAGAGTGAGGATTTTGTTCCGGTGTGCATGGCTCAGCTTCTCTCTTTGGTGGCCCCCGAGGACCTGTAGCCTCAGCCTTTCCAGTAATGTACCTGACTGGTCAAAGTGTAGCTAAAAGCCCTATCAGAATGTTACCTCCTACTCGGGTGGGTTAACAGCCTCAGCTCTGAAAACGCAAGTTACAAAATTCCAATAGCTATAAAAATCTGTGCATTGAAGACTTTGTGGTACAAACAATAGTGCCTATCAACACGTCACATGTTAAATACTCAGCTGTTCAAACGGTTTTATCCAAATCCTGAGAAAATAGATGTTATTATTTCCATCTTGTAGGAAGGAAAATTGAGAAGTTGAAAAAAAAAAAAAAAACAACACAAGAGCTTTTCCGAATTCCTCCTACTATACCTTTGGTTGTGCTTTCTCTTCTTTGGGAGGAAACCAAAAGGCTTAGATCACAAGAAGGGAGATTATGGGGAATTGTACAGAAGAATTTCCTGATAAAACGACTTCTAAAACAGATCATGATCTGCACGCTGAGGATGTTATGAACAAAATCTGACTCACTGTCTTTCTTGGATGGAAGGTCCATGGTTCTGAAAAATCTGCCCAATAATTAGATCATTTTCAGCAGGAAAAGTCCCATTAACTGCCTGTCCCACCACCTACTGTTGACTACAAAATAGTGACCACAAAATAGTATCCAAATAAAAGTGGATCTGCTTCTGATGCTGGTGTCAGGAAAGTGTTAAGTCATCAATCAACAACCACATTTTATTTTTGCAACGTATATTGTCACTTTTTGTTGCTTAGCATTAATATCCAATTGTTAATTCAACACTTACTGAGCACCCACTATGTCCCTGTCACTTTGTTATTCACTTTGAGTATAATGAACAGGACAGACAGGGTCAATCTTGGTGCCTTCAGAATGGCAAGACAGGCAGTAAATGATAAATGTTTACACGTATGTGAGAAGTCCTAAGAAAGAACAAATAGGAGATCACAGAACTGGGTGACCTAACTTGGTCCAGGAAGCTGTCTTTGAGTAAAGAATATTTAGGGGTGCCTGGGCGGCTTGGTCGGTTAGGCATCCGACTTCGGCTCAGGTCATGATCTCGCAGTCCGTGAGTTCAAGCCCTGCGTCGGGCTCTGTGCTGACAGCTCAGAGCCTGGAGTCTGCTTCAGATTCTGTGTCTCCCTCTCTCTCTGCCCATACCATGCTCACGCTCTGTCTCTGTCTCAAAAATAAATAAACGTTAAAAAAAAATTAAAAAAAAAAAAAGAATATTTAACCTAGGACTTTGGGAGTAAGCGTTAGTCAGACCAAGACCATTGGATAAAGCAAAGATTTTTTAAGAAGTCCAGCAACCCCAGGGATGAAAAGGGATACCACTATTGCAGACAGAGAATGTTCCGACAGAGGCGTGCTGTTATGGCTTTTACATTCCCCACCTTTTCTCCCGAGAGTGTGTTGGGCACCTTGCTCTGCAGTCAGTTGTCTA